GGAGGCCCAAAGGAAGTGGGGGAGAGAACGGGGGTCTCTTTCTGTGGCTGCGGGAGTAGAGGAGGAGGAGAGTGTGTCTGTCTGTCTGTCTGTCTTGAGGGTGAGTGTGTGTATGAGCGTCTGTGCCCGTGTGGGAGGCTCGGTGTGACTTTGGGCAGCTCCAGGGGCCTGGGGGGCGGGGCAGCGCTTGTGGAATTGTGTGTGACTGTGACTGACCGTGTCTCTGTAGGTAGATGTATTGTGAAACGTGTGGTTGGTGTGTTGTGCAGGGGAACTTTTCTGTGACTTTGTGGATCATTTAGTGTGTGTCTGGGAAGGTGTGTGGGATTCCCAGGCGGCTCAGTGGTAAGGAACCCGCCTGCCAATGCAGGAGATGCAGGTTCGATCCCTGGGTGGGGAAGATCCCCTGGAGGAGAAAGCAGCAATCTACTCCAGTATTCTTGCCTGGAGGCTCCCGTGAACAGAGGAGCCTGGCGGACTGCATCCGTGTAACTGTGGGTGTGACTCTGAGGTGTCAGCGCTGTGCCTGTGTGTGTTGTACCTGTGTGTGGCCCTGTAGGACCGAGATGATTTTGTTAGATTGGGTATAACTGCATCTCTGTATAGAGTTGTGCCCTTGTGTGTACAAGTGAGAGTGTGTGTGTGTGCATGAGTGTATCTGTTGTGTAACTGTATATCATTGTGTCCTTTGTTTGGTGGGTGTGCAGCTGTGCACAGGCGCGTTGCATGCCTGCTCCTCTCTCTCTGTTACGTTGTGTGGGTCTCACATCTTTGCCATTGTGTGACCTTGGATATCTACGTAGGTTCCAGATTGCTGGCGAGGGTGTGTGTGAGGGTCTGCATCTTGTAGCGTGTGACTCGGATGGTGTCCAGGTGTATGCTTGCTCCTGAGTGCACGTGTGTATGTGCATGTGTGTGTGCACTGCTGGAACACGTAGCTTCTGTAGAATATCTGTGAATGCACAGGTGTGTGACTGTAGCAGAGGGGAGCCTTCTGGCAGGGTTCAAATCTGGCCTCTGCTCCTTCTAAGCTGTGAGACCTCGGCCGAACCACTTAACCTCCCCGTGCCTTAGTTTTCTCACCTGTAAAATGGGAACATGATAGTCTCATGACATGCCTCGTTGACTTCCCCAGTGGTCCAGTGGTTAGGACTCCATGCTTCCATTGCAGGAGTGTGGGTTCAACCCCAACAGGGGGCTAAGATCCTGTAGCCTGCATGCCACGTGGCGAGGCCAAGAAAAAGAGTCAAACTGTGTGAGGCACTTAGAGCAGTATGTGGCCGGAAGGAGGTGCTACGGAAGGTCTTGTGATGACTGCTTTTCGTCTGTGAGGCTGTCATTGTGCACCTGGAGTGTCTGCCTGCCACGTCTCCCATTCCCATGCTGACTCAACCTCCGTCCCTCCCTCCCTCCCTGCATGAGACACACTTTCCAAATCTGGACGTGTGTGTGTGTGTGTGTGTGACATTGCGGACAGAGGAGGGGCCCTAGCTTTGGTCCCTCTGTTGACCTGGCCGTCCCTCCCCACAAAACAGCGTCCCCCACCCCCTCCCGTCCCATCCAGTCCCCTGTGGCTATAGAAACCTGCTTGCGCCCAGGCAGGATGGGTCTGGCATCAGCTCCCCAGCAGAGCATGGAGGCCCCTGGGGCTGCGGCTCTGTGCTTCTGTGTCTGGAGCAAATTAACCAGTGGACTCCTTAACCACTCTGTTCCTCAGTTTCCCCTTTTGGAAAATAGGGGTCATAAGTGTGCCTGTCCCCTGGAGTTGTTTTGAAGATTCAGTGAGTTGAATCGGGGAGGGCATGAGGTGACTTCTGGTGAATCAGCCATGGCTCTCTGTCCCACCAGTTAACTCCTCGCCCCCCAGATCACCACTCAATGTTTCCTCCTCCGGGAAGCCCTCCCTGACCACCCAGCCTGGGTGGTCAGGCACCCGTCTCTGGGCTCCTGCGGCTCCCTGGATTTTCCCATCCCAGACTGGCCACTCTGGATGGTAAGCCCAGTGAGGACAGAACTGGGGCTGTCTGAGCCACCCTGTGTGCCCAGCAGAGAGCAGGCTGCTCTGAGGGCCGCTCCTAAGTGGCTCCGCCGCAGTGTCTCGCAGGCACCGTGAGGAACTTTTGTGGATTGCTCGCCGTGTGCCTAACTCTGTGGGGTTTTCTGGTTAGTTTTTAATGTTTATTCATTTGGTTGCATCGTGTCTTAGTTGCAGCATGTGGGCCCCAGAGCGTGTGGGCTCAGTAGCTGCGCTGAGTGGGCTAAGCTGTTGCACAGCATGTGGGACCTTAGTTCCCCACCAGGGATCGAACCTGTGTCCCCTGCTCTGCAAGGTAGATTCTCAGCCACTGGACCACCCGGGAAGTCCTTGTTGTGTTTTTGTTTTGTTTTTTAAAAGTTTTGTTGTATAATTTACATGCCTAAAGCTCACTCCTTTTAAGTGTATAGTTCAGAGCCAGGCACTCTTTAAGCTCTTCATATAGCTTAGCTCATGTGTATTCTTTCCATCTTCACACAGTCCTAGGAGGTAGGTTTTATGATTATTTTAATTTTACCAAAGAGGAAACAGAGGTTCAAAGAGGTTACTTGCTTCCTTAAGGTCACCTAGCGATAGAAGCAGAGTCGGGATTCAAACCCAGGCCTTCCCTGACTGCCAAGTCAGGGGGTCTCAATGGCTCCTATCTGCTCTCCCAAGCATCGCTTGCTGCAGAATGAATGAGTGAATGAAAAAATGAATGGTGAAAGGAATGAATGAATGGGCCCAGGAGCCAGCTGTTGGTGGGATAGGTGCCCTACAAAGGCAAGGACTTTGTGTGTTCTCTGTGGGATCCCCAGTGTCCAGGACAGGGCCCAGCACACAGGAGATTTTTGGTAATTTATTGTTAATAAATTTATAATATTTAACATCTGCTATGGCAAGACTCTAATAAGGGCCCATATAAAATCTTCAGTTGCTGGATGGTAGGGCGATCTGACACATCCTGGGGAGGAGTTGGGGTTGACGGTGGCATTTGGGGGACTCAAAGGTCCATAGAAGCATAGGGAGTTTATTAGGAAACATTTCAGTGTTTTAATAAGGGGACCGATGCAAGCTGCTAATATTTGCCCAAAGAATGAATGGAAAGGTGAGGAGGTGATTGTCCTCCGTAGTTGGATGGCTAGAGGGCCAGAGTGATGGCGAAATTCCGGAGGCTGAGGGCCTGGTGCTATTTCCCACAGACAAAATTTTCAGTGGTTAACAACCTGAACATCTGTACAGTCCAGTTTGAGCCAAAAGCAATGAATGTGTCCCAGTGGCTGAAGGCTGGGGGCTGACCTCTGCTTTGGGGGACTGGAGCCCCTGTGACTGAGTGGTAAAAAATCCGCCTGCAGTGCAGGAGACACCAGAGACGGTTGGACCCCTGGGTGGGGAAGATCCCCTGGAGGAGGGTCTGGAAACCCCCTCCAGTATTCGTGCCTGGAGAATCCCATTGGACAGAGGAGCCTAGGGGGCTACAGTCCATGGGGTCGCAGAGTCGGACACGACTGAAGCGAGCCCGCAGGCACACGCCCCGTACCACCCCTCTCTTGCAGGCTACGACTTCCCGGCTGTTCTGCGCTGGTTCGCGGAGCGCGTGGACCTCATCATACTGCTCTTCGATGCTCACAAGCTGGAGATCTCGGACGAGTTCTCGGAGGCCATTGGCGCCCTGCGAGGCCACGAGGACAAGATCCGTGTGGTGCTCAACAAGGCCGACATGGTGGAGACACAGCAGTTGATGCGTGTCTACGGGGCGCTCATGTGGGCGCTGGGCAAGGTGGTGGGCACGCCCGAGGTGCTGCGCGTCTATATCGGCTCCTTCTGGTCCCAGCCCCTGCTGGTACCGGACAACCGGCGCCTCTTCGAGCTGGAGGAACAAGACCTTTTCCGGGACATCCAGGGCCTGCCGCGCCACGCGGCGCTGCGCAAGCTCAATGACCTGGTGAAGAGAGCCCGGCTGGTGCGGGTGAGCAGTGATGGGGGGTAGGGAGGCAGCGGCCGCTCTTGCCTTTTCTCTGATCCTCCTCTGCTTGGCTGCTGGTCCCTGATCTGGCATCAGCTCTCCAGTGAGTTAGTTCTCTAATCTGAGAAAGTTCTCCTGTTGTGCCTGGCCCTCTGCCAGGTGGTACTGGGAAGGGAGCTCTGACCACGTCAGTCCAGGGGAGAAGACCGTTTCATTCCCAGAGTGACCATCTGGCATGGTCAGGGCTGCGAACTGGGGAGCCCAGGGGAAAGCCCTGGAGAACTTCTTGGAGGAGAGAGCATCTGAGCTGCAAACTGGAGGATTATGAGGATGAGGAGGGGAAAGGATTCTAGAAAATGGGACCAGCAAGTGCATGGACTGGCGATGAGAACATGGCAAGTTCGAGGAAGTGGGGGAATGCCAGTGTGGAAGCCAGTGTAGATGGTGGGAGTAATGGCATCTGGGGGGTGGGGGTGGGGTGGGGTGGGTGAGAGTCAGATCACCCCGGACTGTGGTCTGGAGCCTGTGCTTTGTCCCAAGGGCACTGGGGAGCCACGGAAGGACTCAGGGCAGGGGAGGAACAGGATCAGACCCTCGCTGCCTTCTGGAAGGTGGATCCAAGGGCAGTAAGACTGGGTTCCCAGACTAGGGAGGAGGCTGGGGGACCAAGGAACAAGGAGGAGCCTGGATCAGGACATAGCCTCGGGGAAGGGGAGGGGAGCACTGATTTAAGAGCGTTTTTGGAGGCCGAATGGAACATTCGCAGGGGAGGCTGCCAGCCAGGCTGGAGGTGGGGCAGGAAGCCGAGCAGGCAAGGAGGCCTGGAAGGTTATGGGGGTGGAGGAGCCTGAGGTGTTGGTTTAAGGAGCAGCAGAGGGGGTGAGTCAGAGCCCCCAACCCCCACCCCAGGAATCCTCCTTAGGAGGGAGCGGCCCAGTGTGGTCAGCTCCTGAAGCCTCCAGAAAACACCTTTCTCTACTCTGCCCAGGCCCTGGACTGTCTCTGTCTGTCTCTCTCTCTAGATCTCTTCATTTCTACCTCTTTCTGTTTTTTTTTTTTTCTTCTCTTATTCTTTTTTCCCTCATTCTCTTTCTCTCCTCTCTTCATCTTTTCCCTTCCTCGGTCTCCCCCTGGTTCACCCGCTTCCCCCACGGACCCCGGTCCGCAGGCCCCTCGGGGAAGCCGACAGCAGTGGGAGCTAGAACAAGTCCGTGGGAGCGAGGGGCGGGGTGGGGCCGGACACCTGGTGCCCCCACCATGCAGGAGGCGGCTCCGGAAACCCAGACAAACCCCGGAGTCCCGGACCCGCGCCCCGGCTCAGCCCGCCCACCCACCTTATCTCTTCCTGGCACCTTCCCCCGCTTCCTCTCTGGAAAAGCCATTAGCGCCCTCCCTCCTCCCGTCTTCTGGGTTGCAGGAGAGCGGCCCTTAGGCTCCGCCCCCTCTCCCCATTGGCCCGCTCTCGCAGGCCCCACCCACCGGGCTGGCCACACCCCTGCCCTGATTGGCCGCCTCAGACCTGCAGACCACGCCTCCCCCTTGCTCCTGCAGCTCCTCTGTGGCTCCCCCGTGCTACTGAAAATACGGGGTCTGCTGTGACCAAGCCTCGGTGCCCTTTCCTGCCTTGTGTCACCCGCTCATCCCCGACGTGTGATTCTGCCACACCTGGTCCAGCCATCAAACAACAGCCCACACCATTCACCTCCCCACCTGCTTTTCCCCAATAGTACAAGGCCTCTCCTCACTCTTGGTAACTACCCCTCTATGCCTCAGTTTCCCTGTCTGTAACGATCTAGGATGTGGGTGAGCCCTCTGGCTCTGCCCTTTGTTTGAAGCGACAGCTGCTGTTAGAAGGGGCGATTTCCATGGGCTGTGTGATGCTTGAGCACAGGTCAAGACCCTTGATGGGCAGGGTCTTGGGAGGTTCTGGTTCTAAAGAGGCCAGGATGCCCTGAGCCTTCCTACAGAGCTGAGGCAGCTCAGTAGCTTTCATTCCACAGATTGTGATCGAGGGCCGACAGTGTGCTCCTGTTCTGTTCTAAACGCTGGAGATGCCGCAGGAAACAAAAGCAGATAGTTTCTTTTCTTGTAGAATTGCTTTTTAATGGGGGAGTGAGTATTAAATTCAGCTCTAATACACTGAATGTGATAAGGATTATGAAGAAACATGAAGCAGAGGAGAGACTGGTGGGCTGTTTAAGGGACTAAGGTCATCAGGGAGGGTCTCCTGGAGGAGGTGATTCTCGAGCAGAGAACTAAAGGAGGGGGAAGGGTGGACAGAGTGGAGATCTGGGGGAGACTATACCCAGGCAGAGGAAACAACAAGTGCAAAGGCCCTGAAACCGGGACATGCTTGAATATGGAGCCCTGGAGGAGACAGGATGGTGGAGATGAAAGGATATGAGGATTCAAAGCCAGCCAAGGTGCCACCAGAATGTTTAGCGTTCTAAACCTATGACTCACTAAAAGGAATTTTTAGCGAGTGTTTTTAATTGAACATTTAAGACCATCTCATGGGAAAGCACTCATGTACTGTCAAAGGTGCCCCCTCCCACCCCTGACCCCAACAGCCCTCAGGTTCTCTTTCTTGCAGACAACCCCCAAGAATAGTTTCTTCTTTTTCCAGATACATTCTATTTTTACTTAAGCATATCCACTTAGTTATTGAGCTTCCTATTTAAAAATAGGGCTTCCTTGGTGGCTCAGATGCAAAGAATCTGCCTGCAATGTGGGAGACCTGGGTTCCATCCCTGGGTTGGGAAGATCCCCTGGAGGAGAGCATGGCAACCCACTCCAGTATTCTTGCCTGGTGAATCCGCATGGACGGAGGAGCCTGGTGGGCTGTAGTCCATGGGGTCTCAGAGTCAGACACGACTGAGCGACTAAGCACAGCACATTTAAAAACAGGACATGTGAATGCTGGTTTCCTCTCCTGGTTTACTTTTTGATAACATACGAGTTTGTGGCTCAAAGGTTCTCAGGTTCACTGGTTTACTTCACAAATATTTCTTGAGTCTTTTCTCTGCACACTGTGCCAACGCTGGGGACAGAGGAAACAGAGAAGGTCCCAGCCCTCCTGGAGCACACGTTCTGATGGAAGGAGACAGAATAAGTAAATGATGATGGACTGGGATAAGTGCTGTGAATGAAACAATGAAAGTAAAGATTGAAAGAAATTGGATGGTGGTGCTTGGGGCACCTGCTTTCCCACAGGATGGTCTCTGGGAGGAGGTGACATCAGAAGGAAGCTGAAAGGTGGGATTTCCCTGGTGCCCCGGCTGTTAAGCCTCTGCCTTCCAGCGCAGGGGGCACAAGCTCAATCCCTGGTTGGGGAACTAAGAACTAAGATCCACATGTAGCCTGGTGCGGCCAAAAAAAGAAAAAGGAAACTGAAGGACTCAGTTGTTGGAAGACCAGGGCAGAATTCCAGGCAGAGGGTAGCATGTGCAAAGTCCTTGATGTAGGAAAGAGTTTTGCAGGCTGATATAAAAATGAAAAAAAAAAAAAGGCAGTTGAGGAAGCTGGAGCAGATAGGGGCAGGGGGCAAGGCATGCAGAGCAGTGCTTCTCAAACCTTTCCATCTCAGGACCTCATTACACTCTTAAATATCACTGAAGACCCCAAAGAGTTTGTATATACACAGATTAGAGCTTTCTATATTAACCATATTAGGAAACTGAGGGAATTCGCTGGTGGTTCAGAGGTTAACACTTGGTGCTTTCACTGCCATGGCCTGAGTTCACTCCCTGGTCAGGGAACTAAGATCCCACAAGCCTCGTGGTGCAGCCCAAAAAAGAAAAAGTTAAAACTGAGAAAACGTTTCACTTTCTCTCATAATATTAATTAACCAACAATACTTACATTGGCCTCACCATGAGGCTTGTAGGATCTTACTTCCCCAACCAGGGATTGAACCTGAGCCCTTGGCAGTGAAAGTGTGGAGTCCTAACCACTGGGCCACTGGGGAATTCCCAAAAAATACTTACATACTTAATAGTAGATAACAATTTATTATAAATGTTATCAATACATTATTGATCATGCCAGTGTATATTAACAGATATTGATAGTCTTATTAAATCATTTAAAATAGCAAGAAAAACCTACTGCCTGTTAACCTAAGTAACTGATGTTTTGGGCTCCCCTGGTGGCTCAGATGATAAAGAATCTGCCTGCAATGCAGGAGACCTGGGTTTGATCTCTGGGTCAGGAAAATCCCCTGTAGAAGGAAATGGCAACCCACTCCAGTATTTTTTTTTTTTAATCCACTCCAGTATTCTTGCCTGGAGAATCCCATGGACAGAGGAGCCTGGTGGGCTACAGCCCATGGGGTCACAGAGTTGGACATGACTGAGCGACTAAGCCCGCTAACACACAACAGATGTTTTATGAAAATTAACTGTTTTCCAAAACCCCCCAAAAAAACAATTTAGAGAGGACAGTGGCCCTGTTTTACATGTTTGCAAATCTCTTTAATGTCTGGCTTCAAAGGCGACATCTGGAATCGAACATCTGTTTCTACATTCAGTTAGTTGCAGGATCTTTTAGCCTTTACCAATTGTACGATTCACTCAGGAAATGAAGGTCAAAAAGACGCATAGCACCTCAGCATTCTCGTGAAAGTAGTTTTGAGTGTGCAAACCCCTAAAAGAGTCTTGGGGACCCCCTGGGGATTCCCTGGACCACACTTGGAGAATTGCTGCCATAAGGCCTTGGCGGTTGTGGGAGGAATTTTGCACTTGGATAAGAAGCAAATTGAGACTTGGGAGCAGTGTCTCATGGTCTGGCACTTGTTCCTAAAAAAAAAACAAAAGACTCCAGCTGCTGCTTCATGGGGAAAGGATTGAAGGGGCCAGAGGGTGAGCCAGGAGTCCAGTGGGGTGACAAGTCTGTCCCCCACCAGGCAAGAGATGGTGCAGTGGAGAGAAATGGGAAAGTGTAAGAGAGGTTTAGGAGTTTTGATGAAATGGATGTGACCAATGAGGAGGGAGGATCAAATCAGGAGTAATTTCCAGATCTCTGGGCTCCATTGGGCAGGCAGAGGTGGGGGGGGTGCCATTTGCCTCCAGAGATGGGCACAGCTGAGGGTGACGTGGCGGGGGCGGGGCCTGAATTCCACCGCGGGCGTCCAGAGATGGAGCTGTCCAGGAATGTTGACAAGGCAGTCGGCTCTGAGTTGAGCTCCAGGGAGAGGCCGAGGCTGGTATGTAGACTTGGCAGTGGACGTGGAGGGATACTGAAGCCACGGGAGGGGCTGAGATGACCTAGAAGAGAGGGGCGAGCCCCGGTACTCATGGCAGCAGCAGCTCACCTGTAACTGTTAGAAATTCACACTCTCAGGCCCCACGCTGGACCTGGTGAATCGGAAACTCCAGCCAACCCATGTTTTAAGGAGCTCCCCACCCCGGGTGACAGAGTCAGGCTCAGGCGAGAACTTTCCTCCCTCCAGGTTCACGCCTACATTATCAGCTACCTGAAGAAGGAGATGCCCTCCGTGTTTGGGAAGGAGAACAAGAAGAAGCAGCTGATCCTCAAGCTGCCTGTCATCTTTGCCAAGATTCAGTTGGAGCATCACATATCTCCCGGTGACTTCCCGGACTGCCAGAAGATGCAGGTGGGTGGACGCCCAAGTGGGAGGGACAAGGGGTGATGGGAAGGTCAGCTTCTGGCAGGCTCAGGATGGGGCTTCGAAAACTAGAAGGATGGATGGCAGGTTCCTGAAAGTACCTCCCACGAATGGTTCCATGAGAGTATGGTTGTGTGAGTTAGGATAAGGGAGTGAAGAGAAAACCCAAAGTAATAGTGGCTTAATTAGGATAGAAGTTTATTTTTCTCCTTCATAAATATCTTGGAAGATGGTCCAGGGCTGGTTTGGGTCTTTACAGAATCAGGGACCCAGTTCTCTTCTGTCCATGCCTGGCCCATTCTCCTCCATGCCTGGCCTCCAGGCCCAAGAACCCCTCATGGTACAAAATGGCTGTGGAAACTCCAGCCATTGTGTCTGCATTCCAACCAGCAAGACGTGGGGGTGGGGGGAGCTAATGGTACAATCTCTCTAAGAACAACTTTTAGAACAGTGCCATCCAATACTACTTTCTATGATGATGGAAATGTTCTGTGCTTTGCTGTCCAATGTAGTGGGCACTAGCCACATTAAACCTGAACTTCTAGGTTTTAATTTTAACTAATTTAAATAACCACATGTGGCTACTATAATGAACAGGGTTTTTCTGGAGTTGCAAGCACAACTGGTGTTGACTTCTGGTTGGCCAGAGCATAGTCACATGGCCACAGTGCTGTAAAGGAAGCTGGGAAGTGTAGTTTTTCCTCTAGGTGCCCAGGTAACATTGGGGGATTCTATAGTGAGGAGGAAGGGAAGATGGATATTGGGGGATCACTGAAGCCTCCTCCCCTGTTCAGGCCTAGGATTAGCTGGTGATGCGGAAAGCCCTGGGTCTGGGTGTGGCAGCCTGGGGTGAATGAAGAGCCGCTGGAGGTGAGCAGGGGGAGGAGCAACCAGTGGATGTGGGGACAGAGGTCCAAGCTCAGGCACGGAGGCGAGGACTAGCCCCTTGGGCCCAGGCTTTGCTTTGAGGCTGTGTTGGGGTGATACTCAAAGCCTGTTATCTTTGGGTCTGCGATGTTTCTACTCCAAGACTGAGGAATTATAGTACAGTGAAATTCCTCTTGGCCACTGACTAGCTCCGTGAACCTGTGCAAGTCACCCTTCCTGAGCCTCAGTTTCTTCAACTGGAAAATGGGCATCATCCTGATTGTATCTACCCTGGATGCTGAATTGGCTGGTGTTTGTGACTTCCTCAGGACAGTATCTGGCACTGAGTTAGGGCTGGATCAAGGTTTCTCAACCTCTGAGCTACTGACATTTAGGACTAGATAATTATTCATTGTAGGGGGCTGTCTTGTGTATTGCAGCCCCCTGGGTTTAGCAGCATCCCTGGGCTCTACTCGCTAGATGTCAGTAGTACTCCCAAATTACGACAGTCAGAAACAACTCCAGATATTGCCCACTGTCTCCTGGGGGATACCACCATCCCTGGCTGAGAGCTGCTGGACTCGATAAAGAGCAGCCGTGAAGATTACACTGATGTTTACTGAGCACTTGATCCAGAGGAATTCATTTAGCCTTTGCCACCTCCCAATGAGGGGAGTGCTAGTTCTCAACCTGTTTTACAAATCTGAAAACTGACAGGGAAACCAGAGAGGTCAAGTCACTTTCCTGAGGATGCACAGCTCCCAAGTTACAGCTGGGCTGGAACCTGGGCAGTCTGGCCTTGGAGTCCTCCTCATTCACAACCATCACACCCCTGTCAGTTTTTTGTCGTTATGATTTTTTTTTTTCGGGCCAGGCTGGGTCTTCGTTGCTGCTCAGGCTATTCTCTAGTGGTGGTGAGTGGGGATTACTCTGGTTGTGGCGCGTGGGCTTCTCGCTGTGGTGGCTTGTTTCGGAGCACAGGCTCCACGGCATGTTGGCTTCAGTAGTTGCTGCACATGGGTTCAGTAGTTGCGGCTCTTGGGCTCTAGAGCACAGGCTCAACAGTGCCGCACTCAGGCTTAGGTGCTCCGAGGCATGCGGGATCATCTCAGATCAGGGATCACACCCGTGACTCCGGCGTTAGCAAATTCTTTACCACTGAGCCCCACCAGGGAAGCCCCCACACCCCTGTCTCTTTATGGTCTCTTATGATCTTTATGGCTTGGCTCTGGAAATTTAACCTGGCACCAGAATGTGGATCAGTCTTTGCAGCGACTCTCCTGGTGCAACTGACTTGGCAGCAGTGCATGTGAGAAGCAGGGTGACCACAGACTCCGCCCAGCAGCGGCTCAGCTCTTGCACCAGATGACTTCTTGCCTAGGGCCAGGATTCTGGGGTGGGGGGGGGCGGTCCCAGGATCTCCTGATGACTTGTCCATCCCAAACCTAACCACCAAATAGGGAGCAAGCTGCTTAACCCTTTCTGTGTGGTGGGGTAACAGAGCCAGCAGGGTGGCAGGAATTGCATTTTCTTAACTTGCATGATGGTCGGGGGTGCTGGCTGGGTGGCTGGGGTGCCATAGCGGGTGGGCAGGGCTGAGGGCTGTGCTCTGGTAAAGCTCATGTCACCATGTTGAAATCCTCCTCCACTGGCTGGCGGACAGCTGCTGCTCTGAGTCAGAGGTCCCTGTTCTCCCTCTCGCCCAGTGAGTCACGGGGCGGTGGGACCTTACTGCCAAGTCTCTTCTGAGTGGTGGGTACCCAGGTGAATTGGGGTGATCCCCCATAATCAGATACTTCTGCCCGTCTCCATCAAGAGCTGCCCAAGTGTCCTGGAGCCAGCACGGGGCTGGGGGGCCTGGGGATGGTGCCTCCTGACTTGTCTGTATCCCCCCTCTCCCTGCAACCAGGAGCTGCTGATGGCTCACGACTTCACCAAGTTCCACTCGTTGAAGCCGAAGCTGCTGGAGGCCCTGGATGAGATGCTGACCCACGACATTGCCAAGCTCATGCCCCTGCTCCGGCAGGAGGAGCTGGAGAGCACGGATGTGGGTGTGCAGGGGGGCGCTTTCGAGGGCACCCACATGGGTCCCTTCGTGGAGCGGGGGCCCGATGAGGCCCTGGAGGACGGCGAGGAGGGCTCGGATGACGACGCCGAGTGGGTGGTGACCAAGGACAAGTCCAAGTATGATGAGATCTTCTACAACCTGGCGCCGGCCGACGGCAAGCTGAGCGGCACCAAGGCCAAGACCTGGATGGTGGGTACCAAGCTCCCCAACTCCGTGCTGGGCCGCATCTGGAAGCTGAGCGATGTCGACCGCGATGGCATGCTGGACGACGAGGAGTTCGCCCTGGCCAGCCACCTCATCGAGGCCAAGCTTGAGGGCCACGGGCTGCCGACCAACCTGCCCCGCCGCCTGGTGCCACCTTCCAAGCGGCGCCACAAAGGCTCGGCCGAGTGAGCCAGCCCCCGCCCCACCCTTGCCTGCCCGTTCCTCCCTCTTGCCCTGCTGTGGCTCCCCAGCTCCGGATGGCTGCACACACATCTCCACCCCCGGCCCACAAGCGCGCTGCCTGCCCACTCTCCCAGCTGTAAGGATGGGGGTCCCACTGCCCCCACTCCCCACTGTCAGACAGTGGGGACCAGAGGAGGGGCAAGGCTTCTCTGCCCACTCTTTACACCTCTACCCTCACGTTACACTTAGCACATCATTCCACACTTAACACACAGAAGCACCCGTCCGTGCCTCATTCATTCACGTATTTATTGAGCACCTTCTATGTTCAGGGCTCCTTCTAGACACTGGGGAGTAAAGCAGACACATTTATCTGCTGCTCTCATGGAGCTGACATTCTCAGGAGAGGGCACACCCCAGGGTCACTCACACTCAGACACACACCCAGCGCCAACCAGCCTGATCCCTGGATCTGAGCGAGACCCCTCGCCGATCCCCGTAAGTGAACCGCCTCCTGGTTGAAATGACTAACACAGGGGCCCCACCGCCCCTCTTCCTCTTGCCCATCGGGGCAAGGCCCCTCCATCCCATCGGGTCCTCAGGCCGAGGGACCACGGGGGCTCAGAGCAGGGAGATGCAACCTCCTACTTCCTCCGCGGGGACCCCTCTCAGCCCCTCCCCCCAGTTCCGGCCACGCCCCTTTTTTGATTAAGGATCCTCCGTGGACGAAAAGCCCCCTCCACGCCTGCTGCTCCCAGACCCGCGCACACTCCTGTCCTCCACAGCTCACCTGCTCTGGACTGAAAGCCTGGCCTGCTACCCGCCCCCCGCAGCCCAGGCTCCCCACAACTGATGGTCTGCATTTCAGACGGCTGGGGGCACGGCCTCTCCGCCCACCGTCCATGTTTAAGTGGAGCTCCTGCCAGATAAGAAAGCCCCAGGATGTCATTTTAGTCCCCTTTTCAGGGACGTCGTGGGGGGAGGGGTTCTTGGTGCTACAGCCCTCCCTCCCCTCCCCTAGAAGGAACTCTCACCCCCCACTACACACATCTTTACCTGCCTTCACCACATATTAATTAGTGCTTGATCCTGGTGGGGGACCCCACTGAAAAAGATGGGGCGAAGAGCGAAATAGATGGGGATGACGCCCCCTCCAGGGAGCTCGCTGGGATTTCCACGCCCATCACCCCTCACCCCGTGCCCGGGAGGGGACTGTGAACGTAATAGCGTTCCCACAGTGCAAATAAAGCCAAGGCTTCTTTCCCAGTGCGAGTCTGGCTGTCTAGAGATGGGATGAGGGCAGAGATCGCTCTCCGCCCAAACCCCCCGGGGAAGGAGGGCCCTGGGCGGGACTTCACGGCGCAGGGGCTGGGGGGAGGGGGTCCCCTCCAAGCTCTCAGGGGCGGAGGTGGAGGCCATGACTCAATGCATCGGGAGCCTGATGACTCAGGCCTGGGCTGGGGGCCAGACCGACATATTTTCCGTAGAAAAGTTACTCTGGGACCCTCCCTCTGGGACATCCCTCCCTCCTACCTCCTGCCATGGGAGCCTGGGAACCAAGCCCTGGGGCGTAGGGGTGTGTGTGTGTGTGTGTGTGTGTGTGTGCGCGCGCGCGCGGGCGCACGCGTGTGTGCGCACCCCTGCCCTCCTTCTCCTCCAACGTCCACCCACACAACCTGGGTACACAGTTCTTGACACGTAACACCAGCCGGCTCCCGGAGGAGAGGCGGTGATGCTGCCCATCAGGACCACCAAGTGTGCGCACGCGCTGGCTCACACCCGGGGGGGCTCGGCCTCCGCAACGCAGCGGACCCAGCTCCTGGTTCCGCGAACTCACACCCAGGCCACACCCACGGCGCCCGGGGACACGCTGTCCTCGCGCCTTCCCCGCCCACGCGCGCCCAGTGGCTCGGTTCCTGGCGCCCCCTGGTGGACGCTCGAGAGCTAGGCTGGCGAGTCGGTGACCACACACCCCCTTCTCACCCCCCACCCAGCCCAGTCCCAGGTGATGGGTAAACGGGTCTCCAGGGTCACAACCCGGGGGCCCGTCACCTTTCCCATGCCGGGTTCTGCGGTGTGAATCCCCGAGTGGCGTTTTCCCTCTCTGCCTTTATGAGGCTCTGGATCCCTATGGATGCTTGCCAGGGCCCCAGGGCCTCTGAGCTTCCTTCCTTATTTGTAAACAGACTAGATTTGTTAATTATAAGATGAAGTCTCAAGGGGCAAGGCAGTAACAATAGCAAACGTTTAGCTCCATCTTAAGGGCTTTGTATATATTACCTTGCTTAATCTCCAGAATAACCTATGAGGCAGAGGAACCAGTATTCTGAGCCTGCTATTCTAGGGTTCTAATATTTTATGTTGCTAACATTTGGCGTACGGCATGCGTAACGTTCTGAGGTCCCAACCTCGACTTCTGAAAGCTCTTCAATTTTCAAGATTCTAGGATTGGAACATTGACAGGTCAAACGTTCTGAGATTGGAATGTGCCTTGTCCTGAATCTGTCCTGACAGTTTTTTTTTTTTTTTTTTTGCTGCACAGCAAGGCGTGTGGGGTATCTTAAGTTCCCCGCTACGTCCCGCAGTGGAAGCGTAGAGTCTTAACCACAGGCCAGCCAGGGAAGTCCCATCTAACTTTACTTTTTAAAGAAAACTACTTTCATTTTTTATTTTATTTTATTTTAAAACTAGACTTTTAAAAAATATTCAGCAAATTAAAACATTCAGATTAAAAAAGCACTTCTAGGTTGTCGGGAAAAGTATTTCGCCTAGGGCTAGAACCCGGAACCTACCACCCGGGCCTGACCCGAATCTGCAGAAGAGGAAGGAGCCATTTATCCTTTACCAAGATGGCAGCCTTCACGCCTCTTTGTGGCTCCAGCCACCCTACCAAGATGACGGTCAACGGAAGTACGTCACGAGAAGGGGCAGGTTTTCGGCGCGCGCATACCCTAAACCGGAGTTCCGGGTGCCGGCGGCCTGGTTCTTTCTTTAACAAGATGGCGGCAGGAAGTAATGGTGGTAGTAGTGAGCAGTGCTCGAAAAGCGAGGCCGATACCGGCTTCTTGGGGCTGCGGCCCACGTCAGTGGATCCAGCGCTGAGGAGGCGGCGGCGAGGCCCAAGAAATAAGAAGCGAGGCTGGCGGCGGCTCGCTCAAGAGCCTCTGGGACTGGAGGTCGATCAGTTCTTGGAGGACGTGCGGCTGCAGGAGCGCACGAGCGGGTGCGTAGGGCCGGACTTCCGGCAGCAGTACCAGGTTGTGTGTGGAGGGTTGGGAGGCCGTGCTGCCTGGGGGTAGTTCCGGCGGGCTGGGAGCGCCTGTTGGGGCACAGCCGAAGAAACCCAAGCAGGTGGGCCGGGGACTCTGGGTGAGAGGCTGGGAGACTTGATCAGGTTACCAAATGCGAGACTCCCAGGTAAACCTCGAATACTTTTCCTGATGTCAGTGCGTTTGATGCCAATGACCCACCGTAGTTTAGTGCGTTTTACATATTAAATTCTGCAAATTGGACGGAGGGACCCTGGCCTGGAGGGGACTCCAGGCGGTTAGTGCGTGGTTGAATGACCATCATAAGAAAACCTGGGCCTGAGAGGTTAAACCTGCTCCTTCCGCAGCCCCCTCCCATCTATGGCTGACATTCTGCATTTCCATCTCCCAGTGGCTTGATATCAGAGGCCCCCGATGAGAAACTTTTCTTCGTGGACACTGGCTTCAAGGATAAAGGTGAGGAAGGGTTTCAGTGGCGGTGTATGGCGATTAGTCGTTACCTAGGCCACCTTGGCCTCCAAAAAACGGCGTGGCTTGGATGGCAAACACCATCAGAAAAGGGTCTCTGCTATAAACAAGAGGACCTGAAATGAGCAGAAAGCAAGCTAAGGACTAATCTAAGTAACTCATTTTTTTTCTGAAGTTTCAGAGAGATCTCAGTGCTTAGAAAAGAAGCCAGTAGGGATCTGCCTTGATGAGTAGATAGGACATAACTTAGGAGGTCTCCGTTAATTTGCAGAAAAGCAAATTAAGGACTTGTAAGGAGTCAGCCCTGTTTTAGTAAGATGTGCTTTAATGAATACAAAAGGATCAAATCAATGAGTTGGTAAGAAACTTGTCTTGGCTTGCTTGCTTTAACTTGTCAAAATACAGGGTTGGGACCTGCTAAAACAAATGAAGGAGAAGCAAGTTAGGGTTTTCGTCAGTGAGTAATAGGGTTTACTCTCAATACCTAGGAAGATAACAAATAAGCGGCCTTTGAGAGAATGGAAAAGCTAAGAGATGCATTTTAATTTAAGTCAATAGCTTTAATAAGCAAAACACCAGGCTTCTGTTACAGGAGGGTACCTTTTACGAGCAAGTATGAGATCAGTCAGGGGATCTGGTCTAAGGAAGATGAAGGGCCCTCTTTGGTGGGTGGGTGGAGTCTCTGAGCAGCTAAGAAAGGGTTATTAAAGAGGTTGGCTTTTACTGAAGGAAGGAGATTTGTTCTGTGAACTGAAGGGTCAGGCAGGGAGCGGCCTTGGTGAACAGGCAAGGAAGTAGTTATAGATTCTTAGTTTGTTTTTTTAAACAATGACAGTGATTACATGCTTTCATGGGTGATCACTGCTGTGGGATGAAATGCACCGGACTCTTGAGCAATACAGGGGTTCGGGGCACAGACCTCCCCATGTGGTCGGAGATTCGCGTATAATTTGTAACCAACTATCTATTCTTGGTGTTACATCTGTGGATTCTTGTAGTATTTAGTATTGAAGCAGATCTGGGTATGAATTCAAATCCTTGTTGTTCCGTGGTCAGCTGTAATCATATCTTCACCTGACCTCCAGGGTAGGCAGTAAACAATCTTGTTTTGGCTGCATAGGAGCAAAGTCACTTTCTTGAGGTTTCATAGCAAATGGAAGGATACAGATTCTGTCCCAGTATGTTTTGCCCTGGAGTTCTTATTATGTTTTAGAAGTAAAGGCGGGAAATTACCCTGTACTGAGAATCAGTGGTCTTGGGTCCATCCTGAGTCCAGCTCTCTGGGCCTTATGTGACCTCGTCACTCGCTTTATTTTTAGTGTTAAAGTTTCTGTGGCCACTTTCCTGCTGCCTCAGGAAGCCCCTTGTCTGCAGGGCTGTGGATCTGGGTCCCCAGCACAGGGCTGCCTCCAGCTGGCCCAGGAAATGGGTGTGGTGGGTGGTCACAGCTCGGGCCCCTTGGGCTCTGCCCTTGGGGGCCTCTTTCCTCAGGTGGAAGCCTGGGGCCTGCAGGTCTGATGGCTCCAGTGGGTGATGGGGGAGGTGGGGTGGGAAGGGCAGGAAGTCCCTCTTGGGTAGTGAGGAGGCCTGAAGTGTTGACTCTCTGCCACCCCTAGAGCTGAACAGGAAGAGGACCAAAAGCCAGAAGAGGTCACTGCTTCTCAAGAAGCCCCTCCGGAGCGACCTCATCCTAGAGAACACCTCCAAGGTCCCTGCTCCCAAAGAGTGAGTGTCCCCTGACCCCCCAGACCCTCCTCCCCTCCCCCACTGCCCCCAGGTCTGGCCCCGTGCCTGTCTGTGGGGCCCCCACTCACTTCTTGGCCCTGAAGGAAGTCTAGGGAAAGAGGGTGACAGGTGAAGGGTGCTGGTGGGGAAGATGGGGTTGGATTAGGGGCTTTGGAGGACAGACTGGAGGCAGCGAGGCTGGGGCTGGGCTGGGGCAGGCAAAGAAGAGCCTAGACCTTCCCGAGGGCTTTGGGGCCGGAGGGCAGGGCTGGGCGGGCGCCCCAGTCAGGAGCAGGGTCCGGCAGGGCTTAGTGACTGACCCTGAAGGAGTGGAGGGGGCTGGGGGAGTGATGGGGTAGGGGATGGAGGGAGGCTGCGGTTGGCTTTGAAGCGCCGTGTGAGGTCCCTGGGGACATGCCAGGTGAGGGCCCCCAGGTCTGGAGCTCAGCAGGGAGACACGTGTGGGAGGCGGGCTCTGAAGCTGCTGGACCATGTGAGGAGTGGGAGGGGCCTGAGGAGGCCCCTTAAGAGGGAGGAGACACTGAGGGTGACCGAGGGGCAGAGACTGATTCACCCACCGCTCCGTGCCGCTTCTCCCCCACCCAGCGTCCTCGCCCACCAGGTTCCCAACGCCAGGAAGCTTAAGCGGAAGGAGCAGCTATGGGAGAGGCTGGCGAAGCAGGGCAAGCTGCCCGGGGAGGTACGCAGGGCGCAGGCCCGGCTCCTCAACCCGCCAGCGGCCAGAGCTAAGCCTGGGCCCCAGGACACCGTGCAGCGGCCCTTCTACGACCTCTGGGCCAAAGG